CCCCCCCCCCCCCCCCCCCCCCATTTTGTCCTCTTGTTTTATGCATGTAGGAAGGTTTTCAAGACTTGGTGGATATCCACCGACTGTTTCACTAGGCAGAAGGAATTTATTAATTTTGTGTTGTCCATCTAGTTTGTGGGTTTATGATTCGTAATGGTTTCATGCCATTTTTCTGACAGGTCAAACCAGCACTTCCAGCTCTTGCACGTCTAATGCATTCAAATGATGAAGAAGTTTTGACTGATACCTGCTGGGCACTCTCATACCTTTCTGATGGTACGAATGACAAAATCCAAGCTGTTATTGAGGCAGGTGTTTGCCCTCGTCTCGTCGAGCTATTAATGTGAGTGTACAATCATTGAGGGGTGTTATATTTTTCTTCTTTTAGACTTCTGAATCAGATGATTCATTATCTTCCAGGCATCCTGCTCCTTCAGTGCTCATTCCTGCCCTTCGAACGGTTGGTAACATTGTTACTGGCGATGATTTGCAAACTCAGGTATGAGCTGTTTGGTTTTTTTGGTCACATTAATTGGTAGATGCTGTACGGACTTGACCTTAGTTGACAATTTTGGTAGTAAGTTATAAGTTCCCTTCTTTTATTGCCTTTGGGGTCATTTTCATCATTACATTTTGCACATATATTCTCCCTATGGAGAAATCAAATGAGATTACTAGTACCCTCTTTGAACTTAGTTTTGTAATAACTTGCACATTCTTTTGTGGAAACTGTTTGGAAGTTGCTTTTGGATGTTCTAGCTTTTCCAGTAACTTAAGCATAAAATATGGTTCTTGTTATCTATTTTTGGGGGATTCCTCCAGTTCGCTATCAGTTGATAGTTGACACCCCTCAGTTTAAGGTCGGACCCTTTCGATGAGTTTGGATTGCTTCCCACTGCCTTAGCCTTGTTCCATAGCCTTGTATTTCATCTCTTGTTGCAATTTCTCTCTTCATTTCCTCTCTAACATTCTTTACTTCCAGCAATTTTCTCCTTGATTTAAGATCTATTTCTGTGATCAAACTGCAATATACCAATTTGATAGTATCCAGAGAATTGAAATATAAGTCATATTAAGAACTTGTAGTTTTAGAACAAGAAAATACGGTAAAATATTCCAACTAGTATGAGAAACTTCAGTTCCCTTGAGGAGAATTGAGCGTGAACTATTGAAAAGAACCCCTTGCTGATGTACTCCTCAGATAATGGCTATGTCAACTATTGAAAATAACCACCTGCTAACTTACTCCTTAGCTTAGCACCTGTAGTATGTTAAGAATATTTCTGACATTTACCTAAATATTACGGTTTCATGCTCGTCTTTTTCTCTTTCAGCTGGTTTGTTCTGTCGTATGAACTATTTATGGTGATGAAAAATGAAGCTGAAATTATAACTTGAAATAGTTGAGTTACATTATAGAGGTAAAGCTAGGGAGTTCGGTAGACTCTAGAAACTAAATGAGAGAAACGTTCCGATAGATTCCCTAAAATTCACTTTAATTTGTGTATTCTTCAGCTAAAGCCTGCTTTTTGAAGACCAAATTGATAAAGATATTTTTTTCTCCATAGGTTATTATCCAACACAATGCCCTGCCTTGCTTGCTAAATTTATTGACTAATAATCATAAGAAGAGCATCAAGAAAGAGGCTTGCTGGACTATATCTAATATAACAGCCGGGAACAAGGCACAGATTCAGGTAAAATCACATACGTATCCATCTTATCATGCCCGGGAATATATCTTTGATTGTGTAACGGATTGGTTTCAGCTATGTGATCTTTCTTTGTATTCCTCCAGGCCGTTATAGATGCCAATATAGTTGCTCCCCTAGTTCATCTGCTCCAAAATGCCGAATTTGATATTAAGAAAGAGGCTGCGTGGGCAATCTCGAATGCCACATCTGGAGGTTCTCATGACCAGATCAAGTATGGCGTTTATTGCCCCCTAGTTGCCATATATACATAATTTATGTTTAGGTTCTAATTTCACATGATTGTTCTTCCTGGTGGCAGGTACTTAGTAAATCAAGGGTGTATCAAACCTGTGTGCGATCTTCTAATTTGCCCCGATCCTAGGATTGTCACGGTTTGTTTGGAAGGTCTTGAAAATATCTTGAAGGTAGGAGAAGCTGAAAAGAACACAAGTGATACAGGAGGTGTTAATATTTATGCTCAATTGATTGATGATGCCGAGGGGCTAGAGAAAATTGAGAATCTGCAGAGTCATGACAATACTGAAATTTATGAGAAGGCAGTGAAGATCCTTGAGACCTACTGGTTGGAAGAGGAAGATGAGACTATGCCACCAGGTACTGCTTCCCAAGCTGGATTCAATTTTGGTGGCGATCGGCCTGTCGTACCATCTGGGGGATTCAACTTCGGCTAAGAATGTACGTTTTCTTTCCTTCTGCTGCAATACTTACAAGATTCGAGCCAATCGGGGTTTTTCATTTCATTGTTCTCAATTTGAGGAAAAATCACCATGCTGTTTTACTTGTGCAGGCTTTCCTGTGGGTTATTTCAACAACATCTCCAGTCGGTCAGGTCAGGCGTGTTATGTCATTGTTTCGCCATGCTTATTCCAGTCCCAGTTGTTATTTAGAGGTGTTGCTGGACTGGCTCAGATGCTTTCATGAGTCGGGAATTGACAGATCTGAGAAATCGAAGCGAATTTCGTTTGGCAAACTGATTTTTTATTGTTTTTTTCTTAGTTGTCTACTTGTTATAAACATGAAAACCAAGCATTGTTTTCTTTTTCTTTTACACTATTACGCTCTTTTTATTTTTTGTTCATAGTTTTTCCAGAGAGTAGATTCCATTTTGGCGAGCTGGTATCTTCTATGTTGTTTATGTTAAACAACACATTCAAGAAAGTTTTGGTACTATCATTTGATTCCCTATTTGGTACAACGATCTTTCTTCTACATGCGACTTGAAAAACCTCCCTATTTCATACTTAACCAAACTCTTTTGCTTTTTTTCTTTGAACATTATTGGTGCATTGATCATTACGATACGAAAAAAGATATAAATGTCGCACTATTCAGGGGATATATATAGGTTCGTAACCCTGTTTGTTTCTAATAAGTTTGTAATATTAGAATTTGTATAACCTTAGTTCATGAAATCTCTAAATCTCGTTTGTATTAAATTTTAGGATACTGCTCTCTTTTGGATAATTCGAAAAATCTCCATTACTAATCCTTTGTATATCTTAATATTCCTAGCCATCCACTCATTTTTGCTCAATCGTCCGAGTAATAGTGAAAACTCGATCCAATTGATCTTTTGAGTCCGCATTAGGATAAAGGCTTCTCTTGCGCCTATGTTTATTTCTGCTAACTCTTATACATAGAAAATGAGACTCTATTTTTGGACTATGAAGTATTGTTTGGAGTTTTAAGTCGGTAATGATAGTATCTTGTACCTGAACCGGTGGCTCACTTTTTCTAAGTAATGGGGAAGAGGACCGAAACATGCCACTGAAAGACTCTACTGAGACAAAGATGGGCTGTCAAGAACGTAGAGGAGGTAGGATGGGCAGTTGGTCAGATCTAGTATGGATCGTACATGGACGGTAGTTGGAGTCGGCGGCTCTCTTAGGGTTCCCTCATCTGGGATCCCTGGGGAAGAGGATCAAGTTGGCCCTTGCGAACAGCTTGATGCACTATCTCCCTTCAACCCTTTGAGCGAAATGCGGCAAAAGGAAGGAAAATCCATGGACCGACCCCATCGTCTCCACCCCGTAGGAACTACGAGATCACCCCAAGGACGCCTTCGGTAGTAAAGGTTTAGAAAATGCTCGTTTTTCTAAATACAATGGTACATAATTGTCCGATTTTAAAGCCTCAAACTCAAGGAACGAGAAATGTATTTTACCCTAATTTAACAATGAAATTATCAATCAAAAGTTTGTTGAGCTTACAATCATTATGTGGCTAAGTTATGGGAAGAGGTTGAAGAATCTTAGGGACGAGAAAGTTTGGTGTAGATGTCAAACTTTAGAGACGAGATATGCATTTTACCCTAATTTAACGAAATTATCAACCAAAACTTTGTTGAGCTTACAATCATTATGTGGCTAATTTTGGGAAGAGGTTGAAGAATCTAAAAGGCAAAAGAATTCTTCAAAAAGTACCAATCAAAGCAAAGGATATGTGGTACACAGATTGGATATAAGGCTTTATGTGTCAATTTTATTGCACTGAAATAATAAAAGTACAAAGTACAAACATCAGTCAATACATGAAAGTGAACAGAATGATTCTCCAAGTAAGTGGGACAGCCAAGAATCAACTTCTATAAAAACTCATGAAAATCAAAAGAATTATCAGCAGAGGTACGATGGATGACAAGTTTCCAGTGCCCAATCAATTTCTATACAAACTATTCCGTCCATAACTCTGTAATTCAAGAGAAGCTAAGTCCCTCCTCCCCATTCCCCGGCACACACCAAACAGGGGAATGAGTCCTATGTGCTCAAGAATTTCTCTGATTGGCCTGGAAACGCCACTACCATTTTTTGTGTAAAGGTCTCTGAGGAACAATGTTGGTAACTATGCATTTATCTGGAATTGTATATTATACTTGATAATCAAAATAGGATGGATTTAAGGATTAAGAGAACCAACATGACAAAGCACATGATAATGAGCACGGACGCGCACATTACCATCCCCCCTTGTTTCTGTGTTCTCTCCGCCTGCAGAACACGAACGATGATGTAAACATACAAATATGAAGGAATGAGCATGAGAGGAAATCAGGCACGAAGGATAATGTTTTGAGAATTATTTAAAATCAAAAGAAATTAGTGAATGGGGATCGACCTTCTGCAGTTGCTTAAGGCCCTCCTCGACTGTTGTCGCAACATTTTGGATATTGTAATCTATTCTATCGATAATGGTACCCTGTTGGGAAGAAAGCATATATATTTTCAGTGAGTATGTAATAAATGAACTTTCAGGGCGTAGGATGGGCACCTTCTCTAACCTGGTCTATGACAAGTACTGATAGGTCCTTCATGATCTGAGCAAGCTCGTTCACGGATTCTACTACCTGGATTGAAGTGAGCTGGTTGAATAAAGAATAAAGATGTACACAGGAATGGAGATTGTAGGGAGAGTGATTTTTTCTACTCACTTGTTGGATCTCTCTCTCTCTTTCTGCAGTGAATGCTTCAGTCTTTCGCACCTTAGCCATCTGATGCTCGTTAAATACCTATACAATTTCATACAAAAGATTGTAAGGCCTAACAAACCCAACCCATGTACATTCTCTTACGCAGTAGCAACCACATCGAACTTGTAAGAATAAAATGATGGAGAAGATTAAGGGTACCATGTCTTCTAAATCATCGTCATCCTCCATTCTCGACCTATTTCCATTTAGATTCATCTCTATGTCAATCCCATCTTGACCTTCCTAATTCACAAAAAAAAAAAAAAATGAAACTGTGATTCAGATTTTTGGAAACTGAGAGTTCAATATGAATATGAAGAAGTAACTAAGGCAAGCTTGTCTCGTAAACAAAGATATGAATGAAGAAATGACACAATGCTACTCAATTACATAATTCTATAAAACCGAAGTAATTATGATGATGGAAATGTGGAATTGAAATGCTAAATGAAATATTCTTCCCAGACCTCTTTTTGCTGCCGTAGGCGCTTTAAATAAGTTGACTGTTTCTTGCGAAGCTCCATAGAGAGGTTCTGAAGGTCAGTGGCAAGAGATCGCTGCATCATAAGAACATATAACATAAAGTTTAGGACAGAACCCCAATATTTGAGAGAGATTTCCATCTATATGTTGACTCTTTTCATTTCCCTTTTGTTTTTTGAAAAGGAGACAACTTGCAATAGATAAAAAGAAATTTAATTTGCTCTAATTAAATCAACAATTATGGCATGCAAGTTTAAAATGAGGGAGGAAATGAGATGGTAAAAATAGTATTTAGAGAAAATAGACATCAAAACATATGGATTTCTAAATGAAACCAACAATTTCACCTTCCCTACCTGCCCATTATCCCACGTTGAACCCTAAAGATCAGCTAGAATATAAGGCTTGCAGTAGACTATTACACTAGGCTGTGAAGAGGAGAACTCATCTATGATTCCAGCCATGAAAAATAGTAAAATGAAGGATCAAATACATTTCAGAAGCTAGATTAGATGCTGAAAAATAAGTACGAAACTAAAAATGATGGAATTTGACCTAAAGAAGCCACTCGGGTTTGTTATTGAATTTCCTAATAATGAAAATGCAAGCTGAGCAAAAACGAGGGGCTTCATGCTTCGAAGTTACTTATCGAATGATATGGAAGGCTCAAAGGCATTGGTATTGGGATGTGACTAAAGGGAAGTCTTAAAAGATATAAGGGACGCCTGGAAAACTGACGATGGGAAAAACAGCAATGCAAATGAGGCAGAACAGAGGAGTGTCGAGTGATGAGAAGAATCAAAGGCAATGTGTCTCTGTACTACTGCAACTTCGCCAAGCTCAGAACTTTTTCTCCTGAACTTTAAGCGATATTATACGAAATTTTGCATGACTGAAAGCTCAGAGAGAACAAGAAATACAGAGAGAGCAGCTCTTTGTAAGAGAAGTAGCTTAATAAACCAATAAATGTTCCACACAACCATTTGCATCTTCAAGTTATACCTGAACATTTTTTCTGATATTGGAATCTTCTGAAGGTCCAGCTACGGAAAATCTCTTGAGCCCCTTCTCTGATTTCTTGATTAAGTTAGTTATGTCTTGCGTGAGAGATTCAATTAACCGTTGATCTTCTTTATCATCTCCAAATGAAGGCATTAAAGCCTTTGCATGAGCTTTAGCTAACTCCATCATCTTTACTCGTGCACGCTGCACATTTGCAGCTATTTCTTCGGATACATCCACCCAAGCCGGAGGTAGACCCACAGTAAGAGCACCCTTACTGTAGACATAAACAAAGAAATAACTCATAACCAATAACATTATGATATGGGAAAAGGAAAAGATGTTGAAGTATAAGTATGTTTTCCAAACTTTGATGTTTGTAATTCTATTTTCTCCGTTGACATCATTAACTAATTAATATTTTGACATGCTTATTGTATAGATATTGACTGATTTGTCCGGACGAATTTTGACTTATTTGACATGAAAAAATAGATAAAAGAAAGAAGTGGTCGGTAGGACTGCTAAAATGTAATGCGAAGCAACTCGACCATATCAAATTCATTTCATAGATTGTACATTGTACCATCTTTTCTTTTGTCCAACTATGCCGTTTTTTCGTTTATTTGTTTATCTATTCATGCCAAAACAACCAACATTTGTTCAATAAGTATGACATATCATCAGTTAGCTAATAATGTTAATGGAACTACATAGAGCAACAATTTAAATGGGTCAAGATGTAATTGAAACTTGTCTAAACAAACAGAAGCAGAGACTAAATTTGAAAACGAACCAAATAAGAACGAAAAAAACCAGACATTCTGCAAATCATTATGAATTCCATCTAATGCTTAGAAAGGTTTTCAAAGTTTCCTTGGTTTTTCCGCCATTATTGAACAAATGCCTCCTCCGCCTCTGTAATGACGATCTCACACTTTCTCATCTCAAATGCTTTTAACTAATCTATTTTATTAATCATTCTACTCCAAATATTAATCACCTTAGGAATAAAATTTCCCATCTCCTTCGTCCATGAACGCGGCAACTGTCACTAAATCTCAATTTTGACAAGATCGTACCAAGCGATCTCTTAAAACAAAAATCCACGATAAACCGTTTTCCACCATCCAACAATGAATTCTCAATGCTAAGCCAAAAAAGAGATTTGGATCAAATCCACATAAACCGCAAATTACCAGCATACAGTCACACACATGTATATAGACAGAGATAGACCTTGAATTACCCGGATCCTCAGTACTTAAGGGAGCGTACGACCGATTCGGATGCAACAACGACGAGCTAACCAATTCAATCACCGGTCCACCAGTGCCAGAGCTAGTCGATGGCGATGCAGAAGCAGGCGAAGAGCCGGTAGGAACCCTCACACTCCTCAACGCGTCCCTGTATTTCCTAAAGATTAAAGTCCGATTCCTCGACGCCATGGAGAGAGGGAGAAAGAGCGCGAATTCTCGTTGCAAAGAATTCCAAAACTCTTCAAACTCGGTAGGAGTCCAGGGATCTGTAAGAAATTGTTCAAGTACAAAATCTCATAGCCGGGAAAATAAACTCGAACGAAGGGGAATTTCCGGTCAGGTAATCAGAGATCAAGGCAAGGGGAAGGAAATGCGGCGGCCGGAGGGAAGTCACGTGCTCGACGATCAGAGACTTACCGACAAAGTTACGTTATAGAATTGAAGAAAATCGGAAAACGATGGCTCCCGCGAAGACTATAGAACCCCATCGGCGTCAGCTTTGTTAGCGTTTTTGGGCCTTACTGAAATGGGCCTAATGATTTAGATTTTGGGCCTGGGCTTCATAATTAAATTTATTTTTGGGCCTGGGCTGCATAATTAAATTTCTGAATTTTGGGAGTATTTCGTAAATGACAAAATATATATTTTAATTTCTATATAAACATTTCATGTTTTTTTAATTAATTAATTTAGTTTCTATGGTAAAAAAATATTCAATATTTCATGCTTACACTTTTTAATTTAGTATAATTTAAAAAAAAAACTTCCAAATTAATATAATTTTAAAAAAATGCTTTTTATTTATTAAAATAATAATAATAAAAATAAAAGATAAAAGACTTTAAATATTGTTGATCTAAAAATTAAGAAAAATAAAAACTTAATTTCGTGTTTCTTTAGAGTTTTATAATTTCCAATTTTGATGAAAAACATACAATTTAATTTTATATTTAATATATAATTAATTTTTTTTAATAGATTAGATATATTAGAGATTAGTTATATATTTTTAATATTCAATAATTAATTAGTTTATTTAATATAAAATTATGAAATTTAATTGACATTTAAACATTTGTTCTTCTAATTATCCATTTTTTCCACTCGTAATTCGGATGACATATTTCGCTATCCTCTCCCGTCCGGCGGTGAAATTAGGGTTTCGATCATTCTCCTCTGTCGATTAACCTGCACCGATACCGATACGGATTTTGCTGTTCTGGTTGTAATGGCAAATCGTACGGACCCAGCTGCGAAAAACATAAGGGGGACGAATCCGCAGAACCTGGTGGAGAAGATTCTTCGCTCCAAGATCTATCAGAACAATTACTGGAAGGAGCAATGTTTTGGTTTGACGGCGGAGACATTGGTCGACAAAGCCATGGAGCTCGACCATCTCGGTGGTACATATGGTGGCAACCGCAAGCCCACGCCATTCATGTGTCTCGTCATGAAGATGCTCCAGATTCAGCCGGAGAAGGAAATCGTCATCGAGTTCATTAAGAACGAAGACTACAAGTAATTGTCATTGTCATTTTAGTTTTCAATGAATTATAACTTTGCATTTTTGTTACCTAGAAGCGTTTAGGAGTAGGGTTAATTAGAGGGAATATTTCAATTGTTTGTTTTATGGAGTTTAAAGAAACCATTATTTTGGGAACTTACTGTGAAAATTAAATACTAGTAGGTCTGAGTTTTTGGAGTTGATTAGTGAATTGGAAATTAAGATTAGAATTGTGAATAAGTTAAGAACTTCTGCATGAGCCCTATATTTGTTAATTGTGATTTGATAAGCATTGGAAATTCAGATTAGGCTTGTGGTTGAGCTAACTGAAGTACATTGGAAATGCTTTCTGTACCTCATGGTGTTCTGTAGTTCTTAAAGTTGTTGCTCACTCGCCCTAGTTTGCAATGATTGATTTTATACTGTATAGTCTTGTAAATGCGTTGTCTGCTTGGATTAAAATTCTTCTTCTGTCAGTTCATAACTATGTTGTGTTTGTGAAATCTCTCTCTTGTAATTTCCTGTGGATGTTATGTTTTTTTTTTCTAGTCTCTTTCAAGCATTATTTTGAAGTTATTATTTTTTTTTTTTTGGGGCCATAGATATGTTCGGGTTCTTGGTGCCTTTTACTTGCGACTCACTGGGACTGATGTTGATGTGTATCGTTACCTGGAGCCCCTGTACAACGATTATCGGAAATTGAGGAGAAAATTAGCTGATGGATGTAAGATTCTGGGGCCTCTTTTTGAATTTTATCTAATTAGCTATTGTGAAAACGACTTGATTTTACTTTCTTGTCACGTTAATGTATTTCTAATTATGATCTCCTCTGTAAAAAAAGTCATGAACTTGTCTTATTTTTATCAGGTTTTTCTTTAACACACATGGATGAAGTCATTGATGAACTTCTTACAAAAGATTATTCATGTGACATTGCTCTGCCACGTGTCAAAAAGAGGTATTGTACTGATTACTCATGTGACTTTCCCAGTCAGTTTATTTTTCAAGTGGAAGTTGATAATGTCTTATTAAAATCAGGGCCACAATAGAAATATGCATTATTCATTCTTTGACAAACAGAAGTACATGGATCACAAATTCTAAATGTTGCTGTTCTGTTTCTCTCTCTCTCTTTTATGTGTCTCTAGTGTTCAGTTTTGAATGCGATGCTTCTTCTTGAAGTAACCTAAGTAAGATACACTTTGTAATGGCAGATGGACCCTTGAATCTAGTGGTTCACTGCCTGCAAGGAAAAGTGCTTTAGAAGATGACTTTGAGGAGGAGGAAGAAAAAGAGGATGTTGAGCCAATCAATGATTCTTTGGAAGGTGATATTCATGAAAAGGTATAAACGCATTCTCTGTTTATATTTGTAAAAGCATCTAATTTCATTTTCTTGTCCTTACTAACTCTTTTGAGATCTTGCATCTGCAGAATTATTATCGAGGGAGAAGTCCTGTGCGGGAGAGGGACAGAGACAGAAGGCGTGATAGTCACAGACACAGGTCTGATCCCCTGTCTTCTGTTTTTTGGTTTCTTCTCCTTCCCTGTTCTCTCATTTTTTATGTTTGCAACTGTGATGCTCTTTCTGAATTTGTGAATATTTCCTCCTGTGGAGGGTTCCATTGATTGATATCTCCAGTCTATTAGCTGCCTTTATTTCGTGAATCACATAAATTTTTCGATGAATGGGAAGTATAAGGTCCAAGGCCAAATTCAACAATTTTGAGCGCAATTTGTCTTTTGCTTGAGTCTTTTGTTGCCAATGCTGTTCTCTTAGTAGAGTTGGTGCTGGCAAAAGTTGAAAATTAGATCAAACAAAAATTAGGAGATGAATAGGAGAATGGATGTTGTGGCTCACTCAGCATGGAGTTATCTACCTGGTCTGGAAATCCATGCTATTGCCTATCTTGGGACTGGATTGGGTTTATTAGTTGCTTCTGAGCTCGTGCCCTTTTGACCACCGCACGTAGATAAAGCTGATTGCTACGTTGGTTTTGGTTTTGGTTTTTGACCATGCTATTTCTTTGAGTGCTAATTTAACTAAAACGGATCCTTACTTAATCTGGTTCTTTTTAAACTGATTTTGATGAACTCTGGGGAAATTTTCATTTATTTATTTATTTTTACGTATTTTTTAAAATTACGGAGCTGGAAGCAGTCTGAATCTGTAATTCTTGGATTGTTATCCATACTGCATTAACATTCATATGTTTTCTGTCACAACCATGGCATTTGAAGCCGTTGGTTGCTCGCTGCTTCCTACAGTAAATTCGCAAGGTCCTGCCAGGTTTCTCTGTACTGACAGTGTGCAGCTGAGAAGTATGATGGATCGTACATATATTTTTCAGTGTTCTTTTTTCTCAATTTTATTTTTGTATTGCCTTCAATGATATCTTGGTGACCATACAGGCTACAGCTGAGAACTACTCATATGCTTTTCCTTTTTCATTTTCATCTATTATTTTGATTATTTTTCGGGCAACATCAAGTTTGTATTTGGTGTTCTACCCGAATGTTAAACCTTTCTGTATCTTATGCTTTTCCTGTGAAATTACCTGTTTATGCATCCAGGATAGGATATTTTATTGTCCATATTTTGATCCTAAAACCCATGTCCATAATGCACATTGCTTACTTGCATTTATGAGCTGTCTTTCTACATCGTTCCATTGAGTGAGAAGAATTTGATCTTTTGATACACCGCATTGTTCCTTTGTTTAATCACAGGGACCGAGATTATGAAAGAGACCGGGATATTGATAGAGATCGGGGTCGTGGAAGGGAAAGAGATAGAGATCGAGAAAGGGATCGGGATAGGGACAGGGATAGAGACAGAGATAGGGATAGGGATCGCTATCACCTTAGGGATGAGAAGGAATATGGCAGGGATCGAGATAGGGAAAGAGAAGGCAGGGAGAGGGAGAGGGAGAGGGAGAGGCGTGACAGAGATCGTGGTCGGAGAAGGAGCCATTCAAGGAGTCGAAGTAGGAGTAAAGATCGAGAGGATGGGGAGTACCGGAAGAGACACACCCGTAGCAGCGTTAGTCCTAGAAGAAGGAACGGGGTGGAGGATAGAGAGGAGCCGAAGAGGAAGAAGGAAAAGAAAGAGAAGAAGGGAGACGGGGCAGGCGAGGAAGACCCCGAAATCGCAGAATGGAACAGAATTCGTGCTTCTCTTGGAATGGCACCTCTGAAGTAGATGTTTTTTCTTCTTCTTCAGTTTCAATGAAGTGCGAGTGAATTAATGTTGCATAACTGAAGTTAGAGGTTGTTGTCCATGTCAGTATGAGTTTGAGCGCCTAGAGAGGCTTAAGGTTCTCTGTTTTCTGTATAATATTTCTTTGGTGATATTACTGTCTTTGTTGAATGATAATATAACTTACATTTTGGAATATTAATTTTTTTTTCAAAAAAATTATGAGATTTAAAAAAAAAAATAATTATAAAAAATCAAAAGTTGATATATTTGTGATTTTGAAACATTAATAAACAATTAATTTTATCAAATAATCTTAATGGTTCAATTATTTCATAATTGCTCAAGAAAAATTGTGATGAATAGGAAAAAAATGTAGTCCAGCTAATTAATAAAAATATTTAAACTTTTTAAAAGTTTTAATAATAATTTTTTAGAAAGTTAAAAAAAATACAAATTTTTTAATATTTCATTTTGAAAATTTCATTAATATCTCACATTTAAATAAAAATTAAAAATAAATAGAAATCATCTATCGATGTCCCATTGGTGATACTTCCTTTTAATATTATTTTTCAATGCCGGTACTAACATTATTTTAAATTTTTTTTTTTCGTAAATTAGAATGTTTTTGAATTTATTTTTAAAAATTTAAGGATATTAAAATATAATGGTATTTTTTAAACAATGATGAGTATTTTTGAAATAAGTATAAACTGTCTAAAATTAATAATAAAACTATTTTTTAGATTTTTATTTTGAAAGTTTAAATATATTTTGATTTTTTTTTAAATCATTTATTTTCACATTATTTTATTATTAAGTGAAGCACGTAGATGTACCGATCTCCGCCTCTCGTCGTTCTCGGCCTTCCTAGCCGGCGTCTCAGCCTCTTGGTTTTTCGCTTTTCACTCCTTGCAATAAGCATTTTGTTTGAGAACGAGTTCGATTCTTCATAGCTTCACAAAAGGATTAAGACTTTGCTCGGTATTCTTGTTATGTATCGTCTTCTAGTTGTTGTTGAACTACAACTCCTGGATTGATGGATGAAAAAACTGCTTTTCGTGTAGCTATTAATCATCAATGTTTATTCACAGCATCTTAGATTATGTTTATGAGATTCTCGTGATGGTTAATTTTAGCCCGATTTGAGGTTCAAAAAAATAGAATAATCCTAGTATGCATTATGATGGTTAATTTTAGCCCGATTTGAGGTTCAAAAAAATAGAATAATCCTAGTATGCATTATCGTCCGACATTTGAAACGCTTTGGCTAATTGTTTATTCGACTGTAAGTGCTGTAGCCAGTGAGTCGTCCACCACGAAAGTTGGTATTCTTAATGAAAGCATTATGTTATAATTGGGTTCTTTAATCACTGAGGAGAGATAGAGTCCATCCACTTAGGAATTGGAAACACTCAGATCTCTAAAAGCAACTTTGTTCCATTAAGATGTCTAAAAAAAGAAAGTGGGATACGCTTCATACTTCTTTTGACAGCTCTTGGATCCAATAACTTTCCTTGTATAACAAACCACCTGATATTTGTTAGGAATCCCTTCTCCAAAGTATTCTTTGTTTATAAAACCGGTTTCCCTAAAAGTCGACGTGGGACTTTCGTCATCCAACACCTCCGCTCAGCTCAAACAAACCTCTTTTAGAGTCAAGTTTAGGGCATGACGGTTAGACGAACACAACTCTCCACAATAGTATGATATTGTCCACTTTGAACATAAAATCTCATGGCTTTACTTTGGGTTTTCCCAAAAAGCCTCGTACCAATGAAAGATAGTATTCCTCACTTATAAACCCATGATCTTCCACTAAATTAACCAATGTGGGACTCACTCCCAATAATCCTCAATAATCCTCCCCTCGAACAAAGTACACTATAAGCCTCCCCTGAGGCTTATGAAGCTCTCGAATAGCCTCCCCTTAATTGAGGCTCGACTCCTTTCTCTAAAACCCTCGAACAAAGTGTATATTAAGAACAAAAGATCTAATAAAAGTTCGAAAGCCTTTGGAAGGAAAACAATAGTTAGGTGTTCTAAGATAAAATCTTCTTCTTGGATTCTTTTTGGCCTTTAGTGCAACACAATCCTTCTTCATGGCATACAAATCAAACTAAATTCTTCCGTAATTCTAAGATAAATTTTGTTAGTTTTTTGGGAGGGATGGTTGTGCGTCGAAAGTGGAACAAATGTACTCACAATACCAATGAACGGAATTACACAAACAGACACCAAGATATTTATGTGGTTCGAAGAGAAGAAGTTCCCCTAAATCCACGGGTAACAACCAATCACTAATAAACAAAGCGTTACAAGTGAATACCTCACTATCACACTACAAATACTCTCACCAATATGTCACTCAATAAATACAATGTGACACACAAAAGTCTCTCAAATCTCGATATCATCAACCTCCTAAACAAGCCTGTTATATAGGGACAATTGTTTGGATCATCAAAATTATGAATTAAATAAGATTAATATTAAAATGGTTACAAAATTAATAACCAAATCAATAATATCTATTATTTAATAAATTGATGAGAGTTAAAATGATTAAATTAAATAAAAAATTAATAACCAAATAACGGTTACAAATGAGTTACAGAGTATTAAATAAAAAATTAATAACCAAATCAATAATATTGACCGTTACAAATTGATAAGAGATAATGACTAAATTAAATAAAAAACTTTTGGGAAAGTGAAAGCAAAATAAGTGGACAATATCGTACCATTGTAGAGACCCGTGTTCATCCAACCTCGACTATTGCATCTTTTGATAAACTTTAGGGTGTGTGCTCGTGATTAATGATTAAGGTACCGTAGAATATAATTACAATTTTATATCATAAAAGAGAACCCACTAAGCTTGGATGGCAGTACAATCCTAGTTATTCTCGAATCTTTCTATTATTTATGCATACCCAACTTTTGGGTTTCTATAAATACACATTTGGGTCTCAAAATGTTGTCATCTCTCCACTCCTTCCCAAATGAAGAACATCATGAAGAACATCATGAACACCATGTTTTTTATATTTCCTCTCTTTTTTGAAGCATCTAAAGCAGCAATAGCTTTTCCTGCTTGTCCCAAATGTGGAGATCTTGAAGTGCCTTTTCCGCTTAGCACAAATGGCAACTGTGGAGACTCTAGGTACAAAGTTTATTGCCGTCACGGGATTCTTCAGTTCAAGTCAAGTGGAGGGTTTTACTATAATGTCCATTCCATTGATGCTAATGCTTCTAAGCTTATTATAAGCCCACCCCAGATAAACAAAGGGAGTTGTTCATCTTCTGATCTCTATTTAGGAGGCTTAAGGTTGGATGAAAGCTTGCCTTTTAACATTTCTACACACAATACTGTGATGCTGCTGAATTGCTCGGATAATCTTGTATTCTCGCCGTTGAATTGTTCTCTAAACAGCCCCTGTAGGCAGTTTGAGGAGAAAACAGAGGAAGCAAATGGGTGCAAGGATACCCTTTGCTGTACGTATTTGAAAGATTCAGCCATGACTGCTCACATGATAAGAGTTAGAGTGGGAGGGTGTACTGCTTACACTTCTGTGGTGAATTTTAAGGGTGGTGATTCAATTGAGACGTGGAATTATGGAATTGAATTGCAATGGATCTCCCCAAACTAGGATGATAATGTGATATGAAGCTGCTGCTGGCTGTGTTCTTTGTTTTTTTTTTGGTGTATGTTTTTCATTCGATGGGTTGATGAAAGGTTTTGGTTGTTTTTGGTTTCCGACACTGTGGTGTTTTCACTGCGGAGATGTTTCCACACCTTTACAAGGGATGCTTTGTTCTTTTGTTGTTGAGATATAATATTTGAATAATATATTTATTGAATATATCTTCGATATTATATCTTAATATTCTTTATTTATGATTTAATTTTATAGTATATTTTATTTTATTCTCAATATTAAATTAATTTATATTTTCCTTATGGATAGCTATTAGTTGTTATCTTATATCCTGTTTAAAGGATATGAATATGAATGATAACATATCTTCGATTCCAATTTTATTTCTATTTCTCATTTTAACATTTCTCCCATTGATGGGATCTCACAATTCTACAACTGATGTGTGATCTCACAATCCACCTCCCTTTGGGGCTACTATTCTCGTTGGCACGTCGTTTAGTAACTAGTTCTAATACCATTTATAACACCCCAACCCACCGCTAGCAATTTCTGGCTTCCTCTCACAGTTTTAAAACGCATATGTTAGAGAGAGATTTACAGTAAATTTAGAAAAGCATTTCAAGTGGTTCAAAATTTATACTCCTATACTCATTTTAAGGGTAGTCTAAAAGAATATATTAAAATTTGAGTTTATAGAAATTACATTTAATGTTATATTATATTTTTTAACATTAAATAGTTTTGCTTAGAATTATTCATTAAAAATTTCTTTCTTTAGTTCGATCCCATTTACAGAGATGAAGATTGAAATAGAATGTGCCCTATTCCAATGTGGACATTTTACTAATAATTTAATAATTTATCTTTACATTTAATTAATATTTTGGAATAAGGTTGAAAAAATAGATTAAAAAAAGGGTAAAGTGAAATAGTATGTAAGTTTTGTTCTAGAGAGGGTTGTTAAGTAGAATATTCAATTATAAGTTAATTACAATAAATAAGAATATATAAGAATGTATCTCCTAACCATTATATAATGATGTTCAAAACTTACATTTTTTGACAGAGGGTGAAATGGAAGAGAAGAGGGGAACCTACTTTGAGTGCCTATAGGTGATAAAATTACAGTGAGCTAAACATCTTATCTTTGTATCTGATCTGGTGTGTGGTTGCTGGCAGTCGTCGACGACGAAGCCATTCTACCGTTCAGGATTCCGTTGTCCATCGGTGGACTTACTCCCCATTTCCCCTCCGATTCCGCTGGCTCGATCACTTTAACAGCTCCATCAGTCAACCCAATGGCTAACTGGTTTGGTTCTAATGGATGTGTGGCAACGACGAGCGGGTATACAGCTTGGCTTCTACAGAAGTTAGAAATGACAAAGGAGATGTAATGCAATGTTTTTTGTGAAATGGTAGTATTTGTTAAAAACAACTCTAAGCATTAGTCTAGTATCATTCCATAGAAGCATAAATTTCGATTACTTACGAATTCAACACTGCAGGTGGCAAGTACACTGATGGGGCAAT